CACTTAGAGGCCTGGGATGACATGTCCACACAGCAATAGGGAAAGATCTTAAATACATTGTTTTTTTTTGTGAAAAAAAGTAGGAAATAGATTTATGACATAATACTATTTAAGAAACTCAGCAAACAACCACATGCATTTTGCAAAAACACTTTCAAATTTGAAAGAACACATTAAACAGAATTTCTGCCTAGGGGTGGAGGCAGGAGGAAATGGGAATGGGCAAAAGGAAATAACAATTAAGAGAGAAGCTCCGAATAGAACCATGACGATGAGTGCTATGAATCAAGAAACATGATTAACTCACCCCTCTGAATTTGTCATCCAAAAAACATTTTATGGCAATATTAAATTTTAAAAAATTTCCATTTTTTTTTCCTTTTTGTCTTTTTTACTGACCGNCGGCGGCGGCGGCGACGGCCGCGGCACTGGCACCCCAGGATGCGCACGAAGGCGCGCTTGAACTCCTTGCTGGAGCACGGGTAGATGATGGGGTTGAGGCAGCTGTTGAAGTAGCCCAGCCAGAACACCACCTTGAACACGGCGTCGGGGGCCTTCAGGGTGGAGAACAGCGAGCCTGCAGCGGGGGAGGGGTGGGTGGGCGCGGGAGAGAGACAGACACACAGCACGTTTGTGAGTAGTCGAGCCCTTTCCTCCATGCGCTCCGCCTGAGCGTGGTCAGCCGGCAGCATTCCTGCCGCCAGGCCTTTCCCCAGCCCAGTTCCTCTGCCTGGAGTGCTCGCCTTTCCCTCTCGAAATGAATGAATCCTACACTCATTTTTAGAGCCAGCCTCAACACCTTCCCCTCTGTCCAAGAAACCCTTCCTGGTCTAGCTAAACAGCATCTACCACATTCTACCCAGGTGATGATGATAATCACCCACAATCGCTCACCTCCTTTGGGTCAGGCGCTGTGCCAGGCATTTTATCTGTATTATTTTATCTTTCACAAAACGCTATGCATAGATGCTAATTTATTTCCGGCGAGTGGGAGATGTATTAAAGACCTAAATGCTAAAGGTAAAATTTTAAAGGTAAAAGAAGAAATCGTAAAGAACTATGTTTTTGATCTAAGGGTGAAGAAAAACGACTTAACACTTCAAAAAGATAAGCCATGAGGCAAGAATGGGAGAAGATATTTAAAATATCCAAAGCAGTCAAGGGATTGATATTTAGAATATGTAAGGCACTCCTGCAAAGTAACAAGAAAAAGACAGCATTCCGGTAGAAACGTGGGCAAAGAAAATGATCAAGCAGTTTATAAAATAGGAAACCCGAGGGCTAATGAACATATGACAAGATGCTCAAAATATTAGGCAAGTAAATTAAAACGAAAATAACAAAGATATGACATATTTGTTAGGCGGGCAAAAATTAGAAGGCTGGTTAGTTCAAGTGTGGGCAGGGATGGGGAGCATGTGGGGAAGACTCTGGCCCCACTTGGTTCAATTAAGTATACACATACCTTGTGACCTGCCATTCTGCTCCAGGTCACAGATCTCAAAGAATTTTCAGACAAGTCTTTAAGGCGACATGTAAGAGGGTGCTCATGGCAGTGTTGTTTGCATTGACAGGGAAGTGGAGAAGGCCTGGGTGTCCCTCCCTGGGAAAAATAGAATGGGGTGGATGCATACATGGAGATTATGTAGCACTTAGAGGCCTGGGATGACATGTCCACACAGCAATAGGGAAAGATCTTAAATACATTGT